TATCGCAAAGATATCTTTTTCAAGTCAAGGATATATAATGTTATGCCAATGAAATATTTTTCTTCACGTCAGTGATAGATTTTTTAAGCCAAGAGTATATTTTTTTCAAGTTATGGATATGATTTTTGAGTTGTTAATAAATGAATGAATGTCATATTTTTTTATTACATTTTTCTTAGTTTTAACTGTAAAGTGTTGTTTTATCATTTTTAAACGAAAAATATGCAATTGTGGTAAAGGGACCAAGGGTGGGCGCCTTGCCCCAAGCCCATGGGCCCATTGCCCCAGGGGTTGGGCAATGGGCCCATTTTGATACTTTTTACAAAATAGTGTTTCATGAAAAATTGAATAACTCTATAGGCGTCTAATTCACATCATACATTCCTCATTAGTTGCACCTTTAAACAAAACAAAGAACCACCTCGTATCAATTAAAACTTCGTCAAAAATTTAGTTTAAAAAAAGTGGGGGGCGCGCTGCGCCACGTTACCCTATCTCCTTATTTGATTTAGAAACTCAAAAAAATCCTAGTACCGTGAAATTATTGCAAATATTTGGGGTAAAAATTCGTCTGCGCTATTAATTCAAGTACCTTTTGATTCAATATGTAAACCTTACACGGAGACTGCTCGTTGAAATCAGACCATTCGTTGTTTAATAAACAACTACCAATAACTTGAAGTTATTGGTTGTTTATTAAAATAATTATTTTCGTTAGGTACAATCAACCAGGTTTAATTGGGCTGAGTGAGGCGGTAAGTGTGGTTCAGTTACTCAAATCCCTCGACAATTATTTAATAGATTCATCTAATTTCTTTCTGCATTTCTGTATATTTTTTTATTTATGTTCCAACGAAGGTTGGTTGGTAGATAAAATTCTTCGAAGTATTTCAAACTTCCAATCAACTTTTTTTAAAACGTTGCGTAACTTTCATATATTTATTATGAATATATTAGCAAAATTGTCATATGGTATATGTTAAGAAAGCATGTTTGTAACAAAGGTCACGTAAAGCATGACCTTGAAACGAAGTGCGTTCTCACTTGCCCAAAATATAGCACCGACTTGAGCTGCTGATTCAGTATTGACTCAGGGGTACACTCAGAAAAATCAGCGACTCTTTGCTCAAAAAACAATGTGTTTTCTGCCTTTTTCTAGGTCATTCTGACCCAGATTGTACCCGCAAGAGAACGTATCAGTGCTACGTCCGCTCTCTGCCTCACACTGTATGCATGCACGTGAGTCACTATTTGGACAATATTACCCTTTTATTTATTTGAGAGCACCTTGGCATTATAGCAACGCTTCCGGGGTGAACATTTCTGTGAAGTTCGTGCGGTGCGCGATAAGAAGAAGTGCGCATTACCGAGAACTCGCGGCGGCTCTCAGTACCTGCAGCCGTCCAATCGATGGAGTCCGCGGTATTAGCTTAGAATCACGCCGAGTTTATGGAAGCATTTAAATATACATTAGGCGACTGTCTATGATTCAATTGCAACTCCTACTAGGAGTTGCAAATGAAGTAGCGCTACTACTCCTACTCTTTTCATTTGCAGCGCTACTAGAAAGTTTTAGGGCAAAGAATGAAAATGAAATCAGTTTAATCAACTGTTTAAAAAACAAACGTTATCATTTAGAATAAGTGCATGTAAAAATATATTCCGTTGATCACCCAACATTTTTTGACCCGCGCTGTTTTACGCAATACGTAGGGTGCCTTCCCGTATGCTATTGGATGTCAATTGGCACAAAGTGACAACCACAGTTCACACGATGCATTTATAACTGGACTCGTTATTACCGGCGGAAGTAAAAGAAAATAAATGTTTAATTTATCTTAATTGATCTGATTAAATATAACAACTCGACGCGGAGGAGAATAATTGAAACCTTATTTTCACGAATGTCCGTGATGGTTGACATTCGCGTTTTATGCTGTCATAAATTTTATGCTGTCATATAAAATTATCGAATGAAGCTGATAAACCTCGTTACTCTGAATTTTGAATTAAATGAATAATCTCTAAATTAATTACTTCATCAGGAAAAAATAATTAAATCTCGTTACTCTGCTCAAGTAACTTATAAATTGATATCACACACCAACATTAGGAGCTAATAACCTTCTTCCATGACCTTTTCCAAGTAATTATTTACACTCAAGCCGTCATGAACATCAGCCGCATTTAACCTTTACCTAATAAAAATTTTACGAGTAAGAAAAACTATAACAATAATTTTGGAATTTAAAATTGAACACTTATGTATTCGATTTTATAGCAATATTATGTCTTTTTAAAGCCCTTCGATCCAAACACAAGCTACCTCTTGGAGGCAGCCCTCACTAGCCCGCGCCTGTCAAGCGACTGAGGGACGGTAGCACCGATCGAACCACTTCGACGATCGCCTGTCAGCTTCGAAGAACCGCTTTATCGCGTGATCGGTTCGTCGCAGCAATGGCAAGTCAACGTCGCGGAATAGTTTTATCCAATTAATAGCAAGTCTGGCCGATGAACCGCTTTATCGAAAAGCCGGTTCGTCGTAGCAATGACAAGTCAACGTCGCGGAATATAGTTTTATCGAATTAAATTGCAAGTCAGACAGAGGAATCACTTTATCGCAAAATCGGTTCGTCGCAGCAATTGCAAGTCAACGTCGCGGAATAGTTTTATCGAAGTAATAGCAAGGAATCGCTTCATCGTTTCTATCGCGAGTCGGCGTCGAGTAATTGTTTTGTCGAAGCAATCGTAAGTCGGCATCCAAGACTCGCTTTACATTAAAATCAGAGCTAAAGAATTTAATTCGTACAGGAACTGAATTCGTATAGCGCTTCGTTCGTAAAGCGAATATAGAGATACAGTATGTCCAAGCTATATTTATTTATTACACAAATTTATATCTATTATTCTAGTACTCTATATCGATTAGTCTAAAAGACTATGAAATTTTCGACGTAGACACAACTATGCATTATTCCCAGCAAAACCTCAACACATTATGGTCAAACAGAACAGTGACACTGCAACCGGTCAAGAGTGACGAACTCCTGCCCAGTGGTGCCCACTCTTTCAACGACTTTCAAGCTAAAACCTGGTATTTTCAAGCAAAAATACACTAAATATTCAAACATTGTAGATAAAAATATAATATAATTTTCTTACATTTTTCATACATTTTTTCCGCTAGAACTATTTTTTCTGGCTGAATGTGTTGAAAATGCGATATATCTAGGAAAATGCGCTAGATCAGGAAGTAAATCTATATTAATAATGAAAACACAAGTCTTTTAGACGGAACCCTCACGGGCCTACAGGATGAGTCTGGCTCTGTTTGATATCCTGCATGATTAACGAAGTCGATTAAAATGAGCTTATAGCAAACCCGCAGCTGCCCATTCTTCTCTAACGTGGGTTAATGCTTTTTTTTTAGAAATCATGAAACACATAATAAAACAGTAGCTTTTTTTCGCGCACTTGTATCAGCATCCAAATAAAAATCATCAGTATTGTTTTAGACCTTTATTCAATAAAAATCATCAGATATTACTTTAGACTTTTATTCAATAAAAATTCCACGAGTCTTTCGTTCTGCTTGACAATTAATTATGAGTTTTTAATGAAATATACTGTAAAAATACGCATATTGTACACATGAATTCAACAAATACATTTAAGAAAGGCTAAATTACAGTATAGAGCTTTCCATCAGTTCAGTGCCATCGTGCATTGGTAATCCCTGCGCGATTCGAACAACGATATAAATGCACCTGGCTCTTTAAAAATGCTGTTTTTAGTGATGACGGTTTAATCAGAGATCAGACCATGTAAATAATTGAGAAAAATTCTGGCGATTGCAAGCGAACTAAATATTGACATAACTGAGTTGTACTTCTTGCAATAGTGACACTATTGTTGAAACAACGACTGTGAAGTTATCAGGGTAAGTCAAAGTTGTGCGCTATATCATTTTCGATATCAGATTTTGTTGAAAATCAATTATTATAAGTGTAAGCGCCCAAGTAAACCGGCCATTCGCTGCAAAATTCTTGGTAAAATTTTTAATTTTGGAAGTGTGCAATCAATGTTTCCTGTTCGCAAATCAATTTAATGTAATGTTCGCGTTGAAATTCGGCGGTCATATCAAAATACGGTTGAATAAATCCATTTTATTTCCCCTATATTCAGATCTTTATAGTACAAGAGTTTTCAATAGAGCGATATACTGGACGCCCATGTCACTAAATATCAATTTCACTGTCTAAAAACTCAAGAAATAAATTTTTTAGGGTAAAATAGAATAAGTAAATCGATATGCTCACAACATTAGTTTTAGAATAATAAACAAAAACTATACCGGAAATTCACTGAATCATGGGCATCCATGAACTATGAGACTGTGTGAGACATAGAAAAAATTGATGAAAAAGGATATTCGAGGTAGGTGCGCAATAAATAAAGCCAACAAGCCTATTACCTAATGATAATAATGAGGATTAAAATATGAAAAATATACACTATTTACAAACGACATGACTGAAGCATGTGTGAGTCATTATTTGCTCTTAATGGCAACTACATCTCACATTCATAACAATTAAGGCTGGTCTGCCTCACTGAATGCTCCTCAAGTGATAGCAAATTTACAAATGGACAGCAGGACGTAATATTTCTTTGTTTCATCCTTTGTCGTCGTATCGCAATATCTTCATTTTAATTCCCGTCACTGTGTGTCAAAGAGCTAAATTGATTTCTGATATTATGTGGGACAATCAAAAGATTTTATGAAAGGGTTCGTGGTTACTAAACTTCTATAAACGTCAATAGACAGGAAAATTTTCATGGACTGAATTAATTGATGCTTATTATAAGTGTTTAGTTACATAAAAAAATTATTCGAAATTCTAATAAATTCCGAAAAAAATAACGCATTAACCTTCGACAGTGAGCTCTTATACAATAATGTCTTGAATTACGAACCATTATGAAAATAAAAAAGTAAAAACAGTAAAAAATTACATTTATGCAAGCTTGAGTTCGCACAAAACCATAAAATCAAGTTTCCCCGAGATAACTCAACATTGAGGCATCGTTGTCCGCACGTCTCATGAAGACGCTTCAGCTTTGGAGAAACTAATAAAATACAACACCCATGCTATTCTTATCAGACGAATACGATCTAATATCATTATGACAACCGGATTCACATATAGTTACATTACAATATATTTATTTGCGGCGGCAATTCTAATGGAGCATCTTATGTACGCATTTTGTCCGTAAGTTCTCCTTATCCACGGATCAAAAGGTCTTCAATAGTTGATTGTTTTGTCTAAGCACGCAAGTTTTCCAACTTCTATCTGGCCGCGTAGGCTGTCCAATATTCATAAGTTATCCTTGCCCACGAATGAGGCGGTCGTCACAAGTCAATTATTGTGTCTATGGCCGCAGGTTATCAAGGATCCACTGTCGGTACTCATGTACGGACGTGTACACGGCAGGAGTGTTGTTGGTGCCACACACGGCCAGGCCGAAGGATACGACTCCTACTTGCAGGAACGGTGGTCCGCGCTTCAGCACAGGTCCTCCTGAGTCTCCTGAACAAGTGTCCTGCCCTTGGATCCCTCCGGCGCAGATCTGCATAGAGATAATTTTGAATTATACACCACATATTCTATCCATATTAGTGTATTCAACTGATGCATCATTCCGGTTTTTAGGCTATTTGCGCTACATTGAGTCATTTGATAAAATAATAAAGACGGAATTACATCAGTAATTCCGTCTAAATAGAAAAGAATAACTATAAATAGAACATAGAATAGAACATAGTAAAATATAATGAAATATAGAATTGAATATAGTAAAATAGAATAGAATAACTATAAATAGAATATAGAATAGAACATAGTAAAATAGAATAAAATATAAAAAAATATAGTAAAATAGAATGGAATAACTAAAAAAACAGAAATAAGAGGCATGTTTAATTGTCACCTAAGTAAACCAAGTCATCTCTACCTGCTTGTCACCGAAGGCGACGCCGTAAACGTCCCTACATCGCTCAGGCTCGACCACGGGCAGCTCGAGCTGACGCAGCGTGTCGCTGAGTCGGCCTGCCTCGGTCATGCCCCAGCCCACCGCCAGGATCTTCTCACCCACCGCCGTGATGCCGGGGGCGAAGGTTGGGGGTAAGCACACCGGGTGGATGGTTGCTGTGCACCAAATAATTATTGCGATAGGCGAAATAACTCTTTATAAACGCCAGACAAGAAATTTCAAGTAACGAACACATGTATAAACAATAACTTTTCATAGTAAATTTAGCCATCAATACGATGTATACACGATATATATGTAAAATTAAATTCGAATAGAAAAACTAAACAAAGAAAACAAAGAAATTAATCTTTATGAAGCATTTGGTAAAACTTAGTAATTTTTTCACAATAGTGATTTTTTGTGGGGCTACGCTATGAAAAAAGCTGTGTATAAATATAGCGTTGTGCGTATTAACATAATTCGAGGAATGAGTTAAATACCGGGATTCATTGGCATGTCGTTATTATAAAATAACATTTTTCCTTAATATGACAAAAAATTCTAATATTAATAGATTTTTGTACCTGCAACGGAGTCAAGCGATTAGAAGTTAATAATCGAAAACAGTTGAACAAGCACATTTGTACGTGGCTTCCATAAATTTGTACGTGAATTCAATAAATAAAAACGCATGATTCTGCAATTGAACTGAACGAGTTCTGAGACCTGAAAATACGAGCCTGCGACTAGTAACAAATATACTAAAAGCGACACACTTTTAGACAAAAATATTGAAGACTGCACATTTTTAAACAGACATATCAAAGACAATACACTTTTGGACAGAAATGTTGGACTACACACCTTTGAACAGAAATGTCGAAGACTGCACATTTTTGAACAGACATATCAAATACGATACACTTTTATCCAAAAAAACGAAGCCGACACACTTACGGCCGAGTGCAAGCAGATCGAGCGTCTCGTTGAGTCTGATGAGTGCGATGTCGTCGGAGTATTGGAAGCGACGTGAATAAGTTTGGTGCACGATGGCGTCCTCCAAGAACACCCTCCTGAAGGGGGGCGCGCACCCCCCGCCCTCCTGGCAGTCGTTTTCTGACGCCAAGTTCCAGTCGCCGAGCCGAATTTCCACTCTGGAAAGTCAATGTAAGATTTCATGAATTTTCACTGTTAAGGTACCAATAATGATTAAATATTGTCGTCCTATAATTTCTTAAGGTACGGTACCAATATTGATTAAATATTGTCGTCCTATAATAAATATTTTAGTCGTCCTAAAATTTCTTTTTGAACTCAAATTTTTTCGTTTCCAATTTGTTCTCGTTGATAGTAGACCGTTAGATCATCTTGGGATTAAGAAAAGATTTACGCGATGTTGAAAGATGGTAAAAAAGTGGTCAACTTTCAGGGTTATAAAAAAATTAAAGTGAAAGGGAATAATAAGTGTAAATCAGTTTTGTATCCTTGACGACTGATTTATTATTTCATTGAGATCTTTTGGAGTCAGATCAAGTGGGAAATGAAATTTTGCGAACAGGTCGGGATTGCGAACTGAGATAGAACAGGTCCTGCAGTGTGACTCAACATTCAACAGAGTTATGTGATCTGATGTTTTGTCGCTGTATAGACAAATTCAAATAGACAATTGTTTGTTGGTCTGTATAAACAAATTCATCAGTGATTCAAGCAAAAATACTATTAGATGATTATACTTGTCCAGCAGTTGATAATTGAAAGAGATTACGGTAGGTATAGCATGTTCTTTGAATTGGCTGCGAGTTCCAAATTATTAGAGATCCTTTTGTTTCTGAGACATTTTTTTATCATTTTAACTATTGTTTAGCGGGAAGCCTCATTAAAATCTGAATATTAAAAATATAGAAGTTCGTATTTAAAATTTGACTCTTAGCTGGATAAACATCACTATTCATAATCAATAAATATTGCATTCATTAAAATGTATGCAAATTCAGAAAGCAAGTTCAACTGTGACTCACAGCCTTCGTCCCCTGAGCGAGTTGGTATCAATGCAGTGCGCGGCGGTAAGGATGTAGCGGCTGTTGATGAGCGATCCTGCGCAGTGGAACTGAACGCGGTCGTTGCCAGGCCCTTTGTAAGGAGGGGGAAAATAATCAGTAATTATTTCCTCTGGTGTTCGTATTACAAGTACAAAAGTTATTACTATCAGGTAAATAATATATCACGATAAATTCAGTAGATTTCATTCCAAAACGCACCGTTTTGATTATGAGCAACTCTTGGTTATTCAGCCTTGAACATGACACATTGAACGGAACCATTTGAGATACTTGAAAGCAACTAAATTCAAACTCGCAAGCATAGATTTAAGCAAAATATGTTTATATTATTCTTGACCAGCGTTCTTAGCATAGCTTAAAATTTAACCAACTGTTACAACTGCCATCATAAGTCACAATCATAGACCATTTAAACAATCAAGCAACGATCAAAATTTCGAATTCACGTTTAGGTCAGAACTTACTGAGATACCCGAGAGCAGCGACCCAAGGATAAGCCCCTAAATTGGCTTCTTGGCCTCCGAATATTCTGTTTAAATCTGCAGAATGTCCACAGGAAGTCGGCAGGAGTTGTTCAGGACGTCGGGGTGGTTCTATGGGCGAGGCGGGCGCTCCCGGAGCCACGGCAGGCGACGTAGACGGACAGCACACCTGTGTAAGGTACAATACGAAGATTTTAGTTTATTAACTGTTCAAAATACAAACAGGAGAATAAATAATTAAACTTATTCTCTGATATTTAATTTACGTTTTAATTTTATTTAAGTTACAGTTAAATTAGCTTAACTCAAGAGGATTATTATTAATTTTTCAAATCAAGATACTTTTTCATACTCTAGCGATACTCAATCGATTTGTACGAAATTATTTTGATCAAATGCAAACTGCCCTTAACAAACTCTAGTTGCAGCTAAACCAACTCAACATTTAAGGTATGGAACAACAGACAAAAGAAAATATCTTCTTTTCATGTAGTCGCCGTAGGAGCGTCTACCAGGTTTCATCAAGTACTATTTTACAGTATATACCTGAAAAGTTATCTTCTAATGATAAAAAAATAATTTCCTATTCCTGTATTTATTAATGTATTCTATTAATATTTCTATTTTATATTCCAGTATTTACTAATTACATAATTTATTTTGAATTTCCAAAGATGCTGAAATAATACTGAAACCATGGCCGGCAGCTCACCATAGATCGTGACCCCTGGAAGCCACAGATGGCTCGCTGCACCGCCATGATGCCGGCCCTCGTACGGGACCGCAGCAGCTCCAGCATGGCCGGACAGTCCGTCAGGAGCACGCAGTTGGAGCACGAAGCTGAAGAATCCGGTAGGAAATGGACTATTTGAAAGTTGTTGAAGCTCTTAATATCGTCGGTATTTAAGATGCTATTTTTCCTGGTAAAAATATAATCAAACTACAATGTGTGCCGGGAATGGGACAAAATGCTGTGTGATCTTATGTATCTCGATGAGAAGGGATGCAAACCTATAGGAATGTAATTCTCCAGGCACACTTAGCAGAACTTATCATCTATTATTAAGTTATTATCTATATAACTATATAAAACTTATCGTCTTATAGCTTATCATCTATAATCAACTAATTTATAAATTATCTAAAAAACACGACTTGAATTTATGACCACTCCTTAATTTGAATCGTTCATTCAAAATGTAGAGGAATCGTGCGTATATACAGTCACTATTACCGAGAGTATTAGTTGCATTGAGACTTAAAAATGAAATAGTTTGATTTCTGTTTGAATGAAAAATATCGAAATCAAAAGAACATATTCGACTAATCTACTTTTGTAGTAACTATTTCACAGTTATGATGCATCTGGCATGATATTTCAAAACATTACTTTTTAAAGATTGGGGTACGATTAGTACAATTGTAAAAATATTATATTTTCATGCTAAATCAACAATAATAATAATAGCGGTTTCAGCGTCTATTAGGCCGTAGGCCTGTCGCCGATTCTTAACATCGCCGAACATTCACAACATTTTGCGGTCTCGAACTCGCAACTCACTGCTACAATTCTGCTATGCTTAACCGCCCGGCCTCCTTGCCGATTCTGACCAGAAACTGGCGCACAGAGCTGGGATCGAACCCGCGCCTCTCTGCTCCAATCCTAGTACTCTGAACTTTAACCACTGGGCCACCCTGCCCACAATAAAATCAAAGTGCTTGACAAGATCATCCCAAACACAAATGTGTCCTCATAAGCCTCGCATTTATTCAGGACATGATCAGGTGGACGTGGAAACCTGATATAGCATCGTTGACGCTCCGAGTATGAACGCCTTCAAGAACAGACTAGACGAAGCTATGCAGGAGCATATGTTCAGTCTTAAAATGCCTAGCACCTTACGGGCCTTCCAAAAGTCCAGCAGCTATCTCAATCAATACGTCAGTTATGGAAAGATCGGGTTCAAAAGCCGGATCCCTTGTGGAATTAAGTCACGAAAAGTACAAGAATCGACAACAGGCCATGGGCCTATTTCTTCAGAGCCGACACTTCGATTCTATTCTAATAGTCAGTGAAACCCTGAGTCGGCGCGCTCACCTTGTCTGCGGCTTCTGTCGCCTGCGATGTCGCGGTCTCTGAAAACAAGACTTTGCGCCACCGCGCATCCGACCAAGCTGACCAACAGCCAAGCTCTAGTGACTTCTCTTGACCACATCCTGCACCAAAACAGAGGTAATCAAGTGAAAATAACCAGTGCATTGCAGGTATGTAAATGAAAATAAACCAGTGAATTTAGGCCATTTAGGGAAAATAAAGTATTAGGGAGAACTTGTTAAATCAACTCAAATAGTTGAAATTCTCACTGGAGGTTTATCAAATGAAAATCTGCAAGCGGTGTAAATTAAAATAACGAGTAAAAACGTGATTCTGATTAATCCAGTTTATGAGGAATTCAATTATAAAAAAATCTTAGCAAGAAAGCTGTCAAAGTCATTTTTAAAGAAGTTCGTTTTTCTTATCTAGAGTAATGACAAAAATACACGTTCCTGCACCGCGACACTTATCTTGAATATCTTCTATGAATCAAATGAAACGATTGGATACAAGTTGACCGGAAAACGAAGTTCATGAACAACCAAAAATTGCTGCTTGAATGCCAAAGAGAGATTATTTAAGTGGCAATACGTTTGAGCATGCGTACTCTGATCATGTGGACTACCAGATGTCGTTTGATAGAAAGTTAAGTCTTTGACCAGTGCAATTTCAAGCAACATATTGTTATTGGTCATGACTTGAAAATAAAATTTTAAGTTATGAGGTCATGATAATGAATTTAATCTATAGGAGTAGGTATACGTACAGGTTCGATGATGGGAAGGTAAGCCAGTAGTTACAAGTAATGCGTTCATTAACATGAAAAATGTGGGGCAAGTTGAAGGTCAACTGCCCTGCAAACAGCTAGGGCTTCCCAATTAGTGATACAAGCTTCCGCAAGGAGCACTTGAACGCTCCTCAAACCCAGCAGCGTATCTCGAAACAATAAATTGTATGCAACAAGATATGACAGTTCTAATATATATACATACAGAAATAAGTATTACATTCACGTTCATCCTAGATTAATTATCAACTGAACGTGCCCTACATCAAACCAAAGCGAGCCTAGCAACGTCTCTTTTAACGTCGATTGGAAGACTGTTCCTACCATCCTATGTTGTACTTTGTATTGTATTGTATGATTATTATTGGGTGATAGACAAATTGTATAAGTTGCTTATGTAATAAATTTAATTTGCAATGGCGTCCAGATTATAAAATATGTTGATACACTTAACTTTTAGAGGTCACATGCGGGCACAAAAGCAAAAGCTTACTAAAACTTAAAAGCGGCGGGACGGAAAGGAATTGTGGACCCTTAGTATAAAACATGGCATGCCGTTTCTCCAATTCCCAGTTTTGCTAGTCACTTTATTTCATCTTTTGGTGTTCGACTTCTCAAACTGCACTGAGCAATAACTTGAAAATTGATTTCACATATAGAACGCAGGCTGCTCCCAAAGATCTGCGTAGGCAACTTACCTCATTTTGCCGATACTGAAACTCGTTTCTGTAGCGGAATCTGTTAATGACAGGTGTCAGCTTTTGTGAAAAATCGTCGACTAGGTTAACTCTTTCAACAGGTACTTTGATGTCATTTGATCACATCGAAGAAGAACTTCGCCTGTTTTCCGTCACCTTATTAAGTCACAAATCTTTTTCTTTGTCACTTAACTATGTTTAATCGAAATCGTGATATCAAAGGGCATGCAACGTTTTCTAAGCTGGCCACAACACACGCTCCGAAGACACCAGCTAGCCGACTGTCTTGTGCATCCTGCGACGATGAGTTTATATGAGGTCTTGAACCGCCAGGGAAACCCCTGACTCGCGTGCTCTTGCTCAGTAGCCATGCATCTCAGTCGTGACGTCACAAAACCTGCACCTGTTCAACCATGAAGGAAAGTTGCAGTGAGCTATGGGGGATAAGTTATCACTGCTCAGTCATCTTATCTGAACATCCGTAGGAATATCGCCATAGAAGATTTGGGCTCAACGAGCGATTAAATATAGGGCCTTCCCGATGACATATACGCGTAAAATGCTCACGAATTCCAACAGGGAAGAAATGAAACTGAGACTTAACATCTGCACTTAAATTTGACAGCTTACCTATTATTTCTCATAATTTTAAATAATAAGTGTTGTCTTTCTAGCTTGAAAAATTTAATGTAATTTCTAACTTAAAAAATTCCAATATAATATAATAAAAATAAAATTCCTAGTTTAAAAAATTTAATGGAAAAAACTTGAGCAGCGGTATCAACAATTTGGCGCACATAACTATACCTTCCAAACGAAAATTGTGCAAGACTGTTTAAATGAACTTCCAAACCTACAACTAAGCTTGCGCTTTTGCGAAAAACTCGAGTAAGGTGGCTTTTATGATGCCAAAAATAAAGTTAGACTGATTTTCTACGTGGGCATCGAAGCATTCTATGTTCATCAGGAGATATTTTTTTCGTGGAAAATCGCCCGGTTAAATAATTGTTTGCGTCGGTGCTATAGAACAATAAATTTCTCCTTGAATGTATCCAACCATTGAAAGAAAACCTCACAAAGTAGAGTACGTCTTTGAAATAGTACGTGTTTCTACAAAAGCCGTTAGAAAGAAACTTTTCACTCATTTTTTCATGTTTATACGGTGAGCAGCTAACTTTACGACGAATACGCTTTTTGGGAGACATGGCAGACCAATTATTAGCTCTTTACTGTGCATAAGTTTTTAGTAAAAACAATGGTCCGATAAAATTCCTCGTTAAAACTTCTCATCGAGTTTTTATTGCATTCGGGCGGACGCTGACCTGTGTTCGAATGAGCGAGAGCTTCACGTTGCAGGAAGCGAGTCTTCGGCGATAAGGTTTCACAAATTGGGAGCGAGGTTGAGGAGGCCAAGTCTTCAAGGCTCTTCATATTCATCACTGATTTCCACCTGTAGAGTAGTTTGAAAGCTAAAAAATATATATTATTTAGTAGCAACGAATCTTTTGCAAAATCACAACGCGCGACAAACGCCTATCTTTTATAACCGAGGCCTGGAGCAACAAGACTCCTCAAAACCTCAATTGGCAAGGACAATAGAAGAATTTATTAGTTTTCCCCGATTTCCTGTGATAGTCTGAAAATGGAGCGCAGCCGTGCACCACCAATTTTGTGCACCAATCAGTCCTGAATAGAACGCCTAGCATATTTCCGCAAGGCTACCAATAAGCCAATATCCTGCCGACCAATAAGCCAATATCCTACCAATAATCCTGCCGTCAGTAACCAGCCCATGACATCATCTTGTTTTAAACATTAAGAACTTTACACCATCATATTCTGAAGTGAATAACCCAAAGTGTAATGATCGTTCACCATTGAACGTTGCATCGAAACATCACTTCATACCCTGGCTATAGCTTGAACTGTAACCAACAAAAAACGGCTGCCACTAATCAGCCAAGCTCGTCAAGGGAAACTGCACGAGAACTGCCGTGCAACACGCCAACACCAGACCGCGGATCGAATGTGACTTCCGCGCTTTCATTAAATTACTTATATTTTCTATCAGAGCATCACGGGGTTTGGTTTCGGACAGCATAGTTCTATTCCAAAATCTATCGTCCTTCGACGAGTGACCGTTCGACCGTGGGCTGATTCGATGCACGAGCGCGATACGGACGGGTGGTGGCGGGCATCATAATCACAGCACGGCTCCTGGGCTCTCTGTCCGAGTGCTGCAGAATTTTTTCACGTATTGTCGAACGATGCTAGGCCATACCTTCTCAGGGCGACTTACCGTGGGCTGATTTATCTACTTCAATGGATGTTGTCTGTCTGGTGTAACACTCCAGAAGTGTTATAGGCTACGTTCTTGAGGGAAGGGATCATCATAGTCAATGCGCAACACTTCAGAAGTGGTCACCGACAAGCATTCCACCTGAAAATTTTCCAAGTCACGTTTCTGTTCAATCAAATTTAGATCATATAGAAACGAAGTTATCCTATAAACGCACCTAAAAACATTATTGGTCCCGAGAAATTTTATGTCCCTGAGTAATTTTAGCTAATGCTAAATCTTAATTAAGGCATCTATTTTAGAAATAACTAAAGAACAGAAACTCCCACAATGCAACATTGGGGCATAATAAACACAGCTTTAAATCATTTCGAGCCATTGCACTTACATTGTAGTATTTAATAAGAATATTTTATGGTTCAATTAATAATAATAAATTCAACGGCGACAGACAATTGTCATTCATTGAGTCCTCAAGGCTCGGGTTCACCGCCGCGAGCCCTTAGACAGGCATGGTTGGTTTCTTCACTAAGTATAGGTTCGGCAACGTAGATATCTAAGAACGTTTTGCGCTTGTGCAACTTGGACGACACACCATTACGGTAGTTCTGATAAATTAAGGTGACGAAGAAGGAAAGAAGCACTTGGTGGGATGGGACTGAACTTTTACTACATTATATTTTTCTTCTATTGGTGCAGCTCATTCAAATAAGCTGTGGTTTCGCATGAGGTTAGCAATGATTAAGGTTTATAGATAAGACGGTGCGGTCTAAATTGAATATAATAGATTTTGTAAAACCAGGCAGGTAATTAAATTGGGTGAGATATATTTTGAATATTTCTCGTAGAACATAGTTTAGTACAGTTCATTTGTTTAAAAGTTGTTTCTTAAAGATCAGCGAGAACAATGGAAATTAAATGATATTGGTCCGTGTCGTTATCGAAAGTGATTTAGGAACACTATAAAGGATCTTGTTTAAGAATAAGCATCCCAGACGTTACTGGGGTGGATGTTCTTAACAAGAACATAACTGAGATGTGTATTCTTAACACAATTAATTGAATGAAAAATACAAACAAATAATTAGATCTTTTTAAACATTATTTACGAAATAAAATTCAATGTACAGAAATAAATTGCAAAGAAGAACAATTTCAGTTCAGAAGGAGAAGAACAATTTCTTGAAATACGTTATGAGCCATTCTTGAAAGGGAGGATTAACAACATTATTCTCCAAAGATTAATACTGAGGTGCGCTTTATTAACAAGGATATACTAGGGGCGTTTTCTTTACAAGGTCAAACTGACATGCTTATTCTTAATAAGATCCACTACAAATCAACATGATATTACCTTACAACGTATCGAAAGTAGCAGAAACTTATCGCAATAACTGATATTCGTTGTTTTGTCACTATGGTGAATGATCCCGATCGAACTATGAAAAAAATATATCTCGGAAATTTAGTTGCGGAGCACGTTACCACATGAATTTATGTGAATGTTGTTGAAAGTTTAAAAGGATTTTATTTTATAAATGAAATAAATTGAAGAACACATATTTGTTTTGCATTAAAAAATTCGAAATATTGTCAATAGTCATAGTTGAAAACGTTTATTTTATATGCTCATCAGGAGAACTAATTATAAATTCCACGGCAGTGCAACGAAATATCAGTACGAACTATTTACACATTTTCCGCCTGAGCCCCAACGATCGCCGGATCTTTTAACATACATTCATTTTCTGTGTTGTATTAACGTCAATCCACGGGCGACGTGATAGCAGTGGCTGAGCGCATTGTAGGCTACCAGTAATGCCATCCATGTTCGCCTCCATAGCATGGCGCGTTACTTCGTCGAACACGAAACAAGTTTTCTCCGGTTCTGTGTTCCGTGAATAGAACGTATTGGTACCACTTAATTCGTTCGGAGACCACTTAAATTCAGTCGGAGTGAAGCACGGAGAGGTTTCCTTCCGGTGAAAAGGGCCAGGGTGTACTGCCACCGAAGACAAAACTGTCGTCAGATATACACAAACTATGAACCGAGCGACTAAAAAAGACTAAATAATTAATGCCAAGATAATGTTTGATTGTCCTAGCCTCAACTCATCGCAATGGCAATATTTGGACGTGTCACCGGCATGAAACGCGGGAACGACGCGTGCATGTACAGAGCAGATGTTTCCGGTACAGTCTATTACGCGACGACAACAAACTTAATCACAGAGAAGCACGAAATTCACGAACTGTTCACAAAAGAAGATTCTATGTGTATTGAAAGAAAACTTGCTTTATCTAAATAGGTACACATAAATTATAATTAGTGTTAGTTCTGCAAGAACTGGAACATTATCGAATCCCCTGATGTTTTACGAGTCGTCGGCATAAACATTGCATACAATACATGAAGCATCCCAAAAAGTACCTCTTTTCAATGTTTCTTGTGCATTTCCACGTAAACATATACTGATCAATATTGTCATAAAACATTATTAAATTCTATGGTTTTAATAGTGTCATGCATTCAATGCGGCGAGCCACATGAGTTGTGCAATGTGCAATGAGACATCGTCAGCAACCATGAAAGATCCATTTTGGTCATTTTGTGATGACCAAAATAAACTGAGTTATGCTGCGATCATTACTTTTGATAGATTATAATGAGACCGACAAATCTATTTTTTCACTTCGGAGGCCTTTCTTTCACCTTAGCTCAATAGACAAAAATCTAGTGAAAAATCATAGTTCCGCTACTCGTTGCTATTAAGATGTTTCGATAAAACTTTTCAAAACTTATAGCGCGATCTCCTTGAAGAGCGACCCCCAATGCGGCATCCTTCCGGACCATTCTTCACCCAGATATTTCGTGCATCGATATGTCCTTAGCTCGAGGGTAGCGGATGCCAAGGATTAGATACGTAATAGCTTCCACTGAATTGCGACATGTCCATTAAGGTCATTTATT